TAAATTGGAAATTAAATTTCAGGCTCAATTATGAGAGAACTAGTGTTTGAATTTTGAATTCAAACTAATGGGAGGGAAAAGGTAATCTTTTCCTAATTGAGAGGTTTTGATTGATGTGATTAGGAGAATGAGAATTAAAGTGGAGAGAGAGAGAAAAGGGAGGGAGGGGCCGGCGATATGGAGATGAGGGGAAGGGTTTGGGAAGGTGTTAAATGCTTGCTTAATTGGGAACCTCAAAATTAGGGAGGGGAATTTTAGTCACATCCAATGAGAAATTAATTTGGATTTGATTTGAAAACTTTACAAAAATAGACTTCTAATTTTGGAAAGATTTCAACATTCAAATTTGAATTAATTAATTGACATCTAGGCTTTCCAAATGAGGTTTGGTGGAAAAGGAAAGTAATTAGGAAGATTTGAAATTTTGGAGGCAAAGGGGATTGGGGGGTTTCCAAATTAAATTGATCTTCCTTTAGAAAAGGGTTTCAAATTCAATTTAATTTGAATTTGAAATTTGAATTCTTTCCAAAGTTAAGATGGTCTAAATTAGGAAAATATTTAATTCTTTCCCTAAATGATATTAGGAAAGAAAGGAAGGAGGGGAAGGGAAAGGTAGGGCCGGCGGATGTGGCATGGGTGGTTGTGGCCGGTGGTTGATGGAGGAGATCCAGTGGGAGGCCGACGGCTTGACGGACGATGAGGGGGAGCTGATGGTGGAGCGTGGGTGGTTTGTGTCCGGGGTTGGGAAAAGGGGGAGGAATAGGGAGATGGAAGAGGGGATGGGGCTTGGGTGGCCGACGGTTAGGATTAAGAGAGAGGGCTTGAGGTGGCCGGCGGCTAAGGTGGGAAGGGGAGGGGGGGAAAAAGGAAGATAGGGAAGAAAAGAACCACGAACCCAGACGCTTTCAAGGTTGGTGGGTATTGCGTTGCCCTTCTCCAAGGGACTTCCCCAAAGCTCTCTTCAAAAACTCTCAAACTCTCACAAGAGTAAAACAGAGAAATTTTCATAATAATCTTCATTAACCTCATAAGAGGGAAAAGAAGGCTATAAATAGGCCTCCATACAAGAATAAGAGAAAAGATCAAATTACCCCTTTGGGTTACATGCATCTAGTCCTTCAAGTGAGCGCAAAAACGGAAAAGAACATTAAAATAATAAAATTGCAATACATCAATCATAAATAAAAAGATGCAAGTTTAGCCGTAGATCTTCAATGTGTTCTTGCGCTAGAATCTCCTGTAGATGTCCTCATCAAACCTATTAGGTAATTACGTACTATCTATATAGGCATGTACTAGTATATATTGGGTTTTGCTTTATGGATGATATAAGTTTGGAGATGAGGTGATGCAATGTAGTTTATCGGAGTTGGGAGGAGGTTATATCTTTCGATCCGGAGGTGCGGAAAAGGGATTGCTTAGAGAAAAGGATGGGTTGGTGTGTAATACTCTTAAAAAATATTTAAAATAATGTAAGCTTCAACTTCCTCTAAATGTTAGCTTATTTTTATATACATTCCACTTTAATTCCAAGCATTTTTAACATATATAAGTATATGTAAATTATCAAACTAATTGTTTAATTGATTGTATTTAATTGCAGTTTATGGTTTAAATGATAGCTAGATTAAATGCTAAGTATTAATAAATTATTTAATAGTATGTACTTCAATTACTGTAGTAATTCCACTTAAACCGACATGCATAAAGCTGATGGAAATCCTAGGGCTGAGAATGGCTGAGAAGGTTTAGTGGAATTAGAAGGGTTATTATCATTTTAATAGTGTGATTTATTCTGTGGAGACATTAACTTTTTTTCCCACCCGTCCCTCCTTGGACATTGGAAGCCAGCTTCAAGCTGAGTAGCGGGAGCCTGCTGCTGTGATATGCTTTGAAGGAGGATTTTAGATAATAAATTTCTGAAATTTAGTTGTTGGAATTCAGTAAAATGCTGAAGCTGGTTGTGCGGAAGAGTGGTGGAAACTGATGCAGGCTAAGTTGATGTAACTGGTTACTCTTTGGGTTGAAAAAAAAAAGGTAAGGAAAAGTGAAGAAAGGATACTTAGGAGAAGAGAGGTCACATTGGGGTGAATGAAGAGAAACTTCTTTGAGATTGTATATAAAAGGAAAATAGGCAAGGGTACTTTAGGAGAATGAATTGACCCGACTTCCCTAGAGAACGAGGTGAGATACCCAAACAAGATCATAAGAATTAGTAAATATTTTATTATTGCACTTGTTCTTGATCATGTTTATGATCATATGTATTCTAGTTTATTTTGGTTATTTTGTATGAATATGGTTGTATATGTATGAAATTGTTTATGTAAAGGGTAATCTTTAGCAATGTTAATGATTTTGTAAGCATAAAAGGGTAATATTAATAAACCACTGAATGAGCAAAAAGCGCAACTAAAGTGCAACTAAAGCGCAACCAAATCGCAACTAAAGTGCAACCAAAGCGCAACCAAAGCGCAACCAAAGCACAACTAAAGTGTAATTAGAGTGCAATTAAAGTGCAATTAAAGAGTAGCTAAAGGACAGCTAAAGGGCAGCTAAAGCACAACTATGTCATCAAAAGCATATGTCATTAGGGCTAAAAAGGATGACTATATAAAAGGTGAAATAAGTTATATATGGGGGATAGGCCCGCACAAGGAAAGACGAAAAACCTGATGAGATAAGCCCACACTCTTAATTCTAGAAGTTGAGAAATTTGACTCAACCCTGAATGGGAGAACATCTTCCATTCTAAAAAGTTGGGAAGTTAGACCCAACCTTGAATTGGAAAGTTAAAATGGTGCAAAAACTTACAGCTATTATATAACTTATTTAAAGATGTGAAATGATTATGGCAAGATAAATAATACTGCTAGGCACTTTCAGGCTCAATATGACATTTCAATATGTGTTTAACTATGTTAGTATTGTTAAGCATTTCTTATTTGTTTATTATTATTTCTTATATATCGCTGGTGTATTTCATTGGACAATAGCTCATTAGCAGTGGTTGTATTGCAGGTAAGGGAAATGAGCCCGTAGGGCTTTAGGCGAGAAAGAGGTGATCGTCTGTTTTTGATGTAAATATGTTTTGGAGTACAAAGAGATCTTAGAGGAGATCTGAATAATAGCTGTATAAACCTTTTGATATGTAAGTAAAGTTCAAAAGTTTTAGTGGAGTTCTGTAATTGTTTTAATTATGTTGATGTTCAGTAAGAAATATTACATGCTTCCTGTTGTTAAGTATGGAGTTTGATATGTTGAAATCTTTCTCTGTTATACTCCAGTTTGTGGTAGAGGGTGAGCCAAACTGGGGAGTGACCTGGTGGGACAAAGAGTTATGGAGAGTAGGTTGGACACAAAATTTGCAAGAGTGTAAGTGGGAGAAAGGGTGAGGTTGTGGTAGATGTTAGGATGAATTGAGAAGTACAGGTGGGGTTGTGCGCACGTGCTATGCGTAGTGGTAGAGGAGCAGGATTGAGAGGGAGAAGAGTAGTAGTGGGCGGGGAGATGCGGTGTTGGAGGTTTAAGTGGTCTTGTGGGCTAAACTTGCTAGAGAAAGAAAGATAGGCGCAAGATAGTGGGCTAGCTTAGGCAAATTGAGAGGGAGAGAGTGTACAGACGTGATGGTGGCTTTTGTGTGAGGCCAAGAGGGAATATGGGAAAGTATATTTAGGGTTCTTTTTCTTTCTTTTTTTATTAATTATGAGCTAGACAACTCATTAATATGAAATTATAGTCCTTAGGCACAGGATAGATTGATGCCTCAGGATGAGGCATGGGGTGTCATAGGGCTTATGGGAGATGTCATTGATTTGGTAGAGGATATATATAACAGTTCTAATATTAAAAATATGATTGTTTATAAATTTTAAAATAACATTATGTTATCTTTTTTATGTTATGTATATGTTACACTTTTGCTTGTAAATCTTCATCTTCGTCTCACACATATCAAATTTTCATCATTGCCTTACATGCAGGTCATTTTCTCGTATTTCTTTCATGTGGGCACTCGGACAGTATGTTCATCTTTTTGTTGGTAATTTCGATGTCCCAAAAGCATAGACGCAGTCTATTTCATAAAGCGAGTTGGTTGAGTGTTTTATTATGGGCTAGGCTTCTCGGAATCTTGTGCGACAAGTGTCCCTAGTCATTGTTTTGGCTGGGTTCTATCGAAAGTCAACAATAATTGTTGGTAAAGTATGATGACCCTCATATAACTTTCTCTTGAGAGCTCGAAAAACCTTTTAACATACAAGAGGAAGAGATCATCTTAGCAAGTTGGCCCAACGTCCGGTTCACCCCAATCCTCATGTATCTTTCAAGAGGCGCACTTCTATCTAGTAGAAATGAGGTTTGGTCTTAGTGTTAGATGTATTTTATTTGTAGATGAAACTTTTACTAACAATCCTACTCAAGAATTAGCCTGAGATTTGTTAGATCACAAGAAAACACAAATGCTATGGAAGATTAATTAGTGTATTTATAGACAAAGGGGTTTGATTATGTTGGCAATCGATTACGGTCTCCAAAATTATTTTCAAAATTAATTTTATTTAAAGTTTCATACGTCAATAATGGTTGGTGGTGGCTTTTAAATGATAGATTGGCTTATGTGTTGACCTGAGCCCTTTAGGGTAAACCAATTCAAGCCCATGTGTTATGGAAAATGCATTGGCGCTTTTAGATTGTCGTTTTACTGCTTTCTATGTTAGCCGTGTCCACTTGATAGCCCTAATCCGATATAATTGTTTACTATTATTTGATACTTGCCAAAACCCTATATTGATGTTGTGTATAGTTGTTATAGTGTTGGCTGTGCTTATTTTGTATGTATTTTGTCTACCTTGAAATGCAATTTTTCTACTAGCAAGGTTAGAAGTTTAACGACTTGTATGTAGTAGATATGAAAATGGCCTTTAATTTGTGATCATTTGGAGGTTAACTTGGATATCATGTATATATAATCATATGAATTTAAAATTTTTAATATGCAGATGACGGTCAAGAGATTGATGGCTTGCCAACGGAAGGTTTAGAGATAACATGCTTCAACTTGGTATAATGACCATTCTCTGGCTGTTGCTCACCTCTACTTGTTATCCTAGTTGTTGGGTTTTGTTATCTTATTTGTTCTTTCGTTCTGTAATCTATGAATTCATTTTCATTGTTGCACCTATAGAAGAATCAAGCAACTTAACTTTTATTGATATATATATATATATATATATATATATTTATGATTTGTAAGCCTTAGATTTGTGAAAACTAAGATAAAAGACGAGGAGTTTAGATCTCTTTACTGAAGATACACTGATGCACACATATTACGAAGAATAAAAGCAAACTGAACAGAAGTTGGGTTTGATACTTAACAGTCCTTATAGTTGAATCTGATCAGTTCATGACCTTTCCTTTTTAAAGTTCCAATTCTTTTTTGTATTGATTTCTCTGCTATGGTTTAATGTTAAAATAACTTGATGCCTCTTCTGACAGCAGTATCATATTAACTTGTATCTCAAATTTTCTTAATATCACTAGAAAAGTAGTTCTATGAAAGAGTAGCATACAGAGCCTGAAAAATTAAAATAAAAGAAAATGAAACTAGAAATTATTATGCTTGCTTGAAATGCAAATGAGATAATTCATTTTGCGGGGACATGTTAAGTTAAGTCCCGCTCAGTCACTCTTGTATGCACACTCTGAAAATACACTTTAAAGATTTGCACAAAATTAACATGCAAATGAACAGGAAATTTTGTTAGCATCCGATAGCATAAGTGTAGAAAGTTACTAACAATGTCCTGAAAGGTGTACGTTTGTAGAAATATATAATTAAGTTCATATGTAATGCAATTCAAGAGTTATTGCTTGCTTTGTGATGGATCTATGCTAGAGTATTGTTGGATCTAACTGCTAGCATGGAAAATCATGTCTACAAAAGTGTATATTTTATCTCACAAGAAGAAAGAAGGTTACAGAACAATCTCATCCTTCAAATTGTTGGAGTTACATGCCATCCTTTTAATTTCCATGTTTGATATCCTTCAATATCATAGGTTCATGTCTCCATCTTGAAAAATTAACAAATAATCTGCATTTGGAATTGCTCAAGCATGATGGGAGACAAGTAGACAAGCTGAAGGATTTGAGAGGGCTTCTATTAGCATGACTAAAAGAAAATTGTGTGAGAGAGATGCGGGAGCTTTCTGTACTTGCGGCCGATCCATGTGAAACAAAGCGGGGGCCTAAGGTTCTTTTCCCTCTTGTGAGAGGGAGAGGAGACTGAGCGGTTTGGTGAGGGTTTCTGCTTGTGTGTGTAAAACCCGAAAATGCCGTCTAAGACCTCGCACGCTTTTCAAAGCGCCGCGACGAGGTTTAAGTGAAAATTTCGAAGTTGTCAGATTTCGACGGGAATAATTTTAGAAAATAGAGCGTAAAATTCTGATCGTTTTGATGTATAGAACATATATTGTATTATGAGTATTTTGAAGATTATGAATTTTGGAAGGTTAGAAATGCCAATTCTACCCCTATGTTTTATGAAGGCCGAAATTACTTAAGTGGGGGCAATTAAATCTTTTGGCATAACCCATTCTCCCATTATACAAAAACCGAAACCCTTCACTCTTCTCCCATTCGCATGTCACGGCCAAACCGTGCGGAACAAGGAGAAGGCGGACGCAAGGCTCGGACGGCGACTTCGGCGTTTGCTCCGGCGGCGGTTTTCGGCGGCCAATCTTGAGGAAAATCTTAGGGGAGGCTAAGGGAAGGCTAAGGTATGCATTAGAATGATGATTTTCCCTCTCATTCTTTAGATTTTTGAATGAGAAGATTTCTAGGGTTTTTAGAAAACTTGGATTTTCTTTGAGAAAAGTTTAGAGAATGATTAAAGGATGTTTCTAAACCTTAATGCTAGTTGATTTCTTGAAAATATGGAATTTGGAAATTAGGGTTTTTCTTAAAACATGCTTTTCTTTGGTTTGCCTTCACAAAAAGAATTTCTAGAGGTTTGGAGAAGCTTTTATGTGAAGAACTTGTAGTGTTTAACAAAACTTTTGAGTTTTGGAAATTAGGGTTATTTTCCCAATTTTGAAATTATTGATCAAAAGAGTTCTCTTTATGTTGGGAAGGGTTTTTAGAAGCCATCCTTAGAAGCTTTTAAATTAAAATGGTAGTTTGACACTTATGGGGTTTCTTCTTTTTCTTATTGAAGCATGAATTGTAGGAAGAGGGAGAGTTCTCTTTTTCTTAACTTAAGGTTTAGGAGCTTTATATAGGTTTGTAATATTGTTTGTTGTATCCCTTTTAGGTTTTGATCAATTGGAGGGAGAAGCTCCTAAGTATACTTAAGTGAAGACCTTTTTATTTGAGGTAGGTACGTAAATGCAATACCTTTAAATTTTAAGAGAAAATGAAATTGTTATTATCCCTTCAAGCATATTTTGATTTATGCTCTTTAAGTTTATGAATCTCTTTTTATTATGGTTATGGATATGAAGTAAAGAAATCCCTTACTTTCAAGCATATTTCTTATGAAAGGAATTATTTATTTTATTGCACTTACTCTTTCTTGGTTAAGGAATAAAGAAAAGAACTTGCCCTTTTCATCCTATGTTATTATGAAACTATATGGCATATTAGGGGACATTTAAACATATGCATGTTATGAGAACAAAAACAAAACAGATAAAGTTGTATGTGCATGTTGATGCGGAATATCTTCGGTAAAAGGTGAGGCTCTTATGAGCATTTGTAAAGGTGATGCTCTTATGAGCATTGGTAAAGGTGATGCTCTTTTGAGCATTGGAAAGGGAGTCTATAGAGCATGTAAAGAATGACCTATTATGTTGTACCTGATCAGTACAAAATGAGATATCTCCGAGACGGGTGATTAAAATACATGTTATATTAAGCATATGAAAGGCATTATGGTTTAAGGAAAGCATTATGGTTTAAGGGAAAGTATTCTTTTTGTTATGGAAGTGTTGCATCACAAGTTTATGTTAAGGAAAGGATTTAATGGATTACATTGAAGTATTCTATTTAATTTGCAATGAGTTCTATATTCTTTTTATTCAGTTAGCTTCATTCTTTTATTTTTTCTCTAAATATTTATTGGTAAAGCATTTGCCTATGAGTTTGACTCACCCTAGTTATGGGAACTTTTCAGGAGACCCTGCTTCTAGATAATGGCTGACCAACCTCCGCGCACCTACTGTCGTAGGGAGACGGCGGGCGGCAGGTTCTTTTGTGTTTTGCCTTTTTTGTTAGAAGATGAATGTTATAGATTTTGGAAAGAACTCAAAATATGATTTTGGAATCCTTTCATTTGGAAGAATTTTTGATGTAATCCTCTTTTTACAAGGTATGAAAAGCAAAATTACTATTTGGAACTTTTAGTGGCTCTTTCTTTTCTTGTTGTAGTGATGTTAACATTCTTCTTTATGATGAATTTAGTTTATGCCATGCTACCTTGTACCTCTTCTCCGTCCGATCTCTGTTCCCGCCTCGCACTAGCGAGCTTAACCGGCCGGGTCGATGACACAGGGGTGTATCAGAGCGAGGAATTGAGGAATATTGATTTTCTGAAAGGCCAATAGGATGATCTTATAGGTTAGGGTAGGTTATAGGTGCCTTGTGTTATTTATGCTTAGATGCTTTGTGATTTGTTTCTCAGGGTGAAGGAACCTGAACCTGATGTCCACTGATAGCAACACAGGTGGAGGTCAGGAGGATCACCATCTGTAGTAGAGCTCAAGGCAGTAGCATTAATGCCTACTGTTGGACGCTTTTCCAAAATGATGCGGCTATGACGGGATGATAAAAGAGTACGCCAGACTCAAGCTGGAGGTAGTGGTAAGTGCTCCAATTGACAGTATTTTAAAGTTATTTCCATGGAACATGAAGCCCACCATCATTCGTGGGAGGGTGGAGCTATAGAAGCAGAGGATTGGTTCATGAAGGTCGAGAAGATTTTGGAGGGGATGCTATGCCCAGGATAGATAGAGTAGCCTTAGCTACTCATGCCTTCTATGGGGAAGCAGAAAGTGGGCTGAGAAGACAGTTGGAGAAATCTTTACTGGGGAGATCTAGCATATGCGAAATTCAACATGGGTGGATTTGTCAAGTGTTTAAAAGATTGGTGTGCCATGACTGCTAGGAGAGCAATGCAAGATAATTCAATAGGCACCTGGTGCGGGTGACAGGACCGTTTGCTGAGTATGAGGCTGAATTCACGATGCTTTCTAGGTGATGCTCTCATTGCTATTCCTAATGCAGAAGAGAAATGCACCGGTTTCCTTTGTGGTTTTTGAGGGATAGCATTAGACGCCATTAGTTCCTTTGGGATATTGAAGAATTATACTAAAATTAGTTATAAAGCACGGAAAGATGAACTGGATTGTCAGAGTACTCAGGAGAGAGGACTTCCAAAGAGGAAGAATGAGGACAGATCCAAACTACCCAAGTCTTTCAATCCTGAAGCGCCCAATTGACAGAGTTTAATCCAACTTTTTATTCTACAACTCTATGCATTAAGTGTGGGAAGAACCCATAAAGGGAGAGTGCCTTTCCTGGCACTAATACATGCTTCTGGTGTCACAAGCCAGGGCCATATGGCAAAGTCTTGTCCTCTCTTGAACAAGACTACTACTGAAGGCAGAACAGGTAAACACTCTTTCCTCAGAGGACAGTTGGCAGGCAAGGAACTGTTAGATCTACTGATCTACCCATCACAAGGCCAAGCTCGTCCACCAGTTCACCAAAGTTTTATGGAATGTCACAACATGAACAAAAGACTCTCTGATGTTATCACAGGTATGAAACTTTATTTAATGTCAATGAATTCTTTTAATGCTTTTGAGTAAAAACGAGCTTTAAATGTTATGTTAATGCATGAATATTTAGGAACAATCTTTGTTTGTAACAAGCCTGTTAGGTGTGTTTGATGAGCAGCATCATGTTCTTTTATTTCTGAGGGATTTTTGTTAAATTTGTTGGTTTGTCTTCTTCAAAGTATGCCAACATTATCCAGTTTATGCCA